GAAAAGAAGTTTGGCCATCGTCAACTGCTTCCTAAGCCAAGGTACTTTGGATCGATGCAAATGGTCTTCCGTCAAGCATTTCTTTGGTGCTTACTGGTAACGCTTTCGTTTTTACAGAGTACTAATCAGTTGTATACCCGACTTTAACTTTCTACTGGTCTTGAGTTTATTGCAGGTACGTGATAAAATTCTGCTATGTCCAACTTTATCGTGTCTGTCTTCTTATGCGTTCATGCGGGTGTAGTGGATAATGACGTCTCTGGGAGCGCAAGCAGTGTTTTGCGGGTGACTGACGATGCTGGAGGCATGCGGTGCGACGACTGCAACTGCTGGTATCTCCAGCAGTGCACAGTTCTGACTGCTGAACAATACGCCGTACCAGCTATCAACAAGTGCGCGTTTTACTTGCGTAATTTATCTTGGTTGTTGACAAAGCCCACCGGGTTTCTTCTGTAGAGAGGCCGCCGCCCTAGGTGCCAGACTGCAAAGTTTGAAGAATTCGGTCACAGCGATCACTAATGTGTGCAGCACTCTTGATCCAGCGCTATCAGTCTGAGGAAGCCTAACGAGCAGAGCAGATTGAATGGTCAAACGATGGTACACGCTATCGTTACAAACCCGCCTGTTGCTACAAATCTGCTTTACTGAGATACTGCAGTCAACATTTCTGGCTGTACCCAGGAGGATGCTAGGTTCCTGGTCAATAAACCCATCAAACTGCGACGAGTCTGTCACAGGTACGGCGACACGCACCCAAGGAATTGTCCTCCGTTTCGACAACAATCCAAGGCACACAGTTCATCTACCTGGACATGAGCGGAAAATTATCAACTTTTTTACAACTTACTAACTGGACCAATCAATCAATTCTTCCGCGGCATGAACCACTGAGTCCAATTTATCTAACAATACCTATTCCACATATCTCTTGACTGGAGGACTTTCGACTACGAAAGGCACATTCTCCTGCCAAGACAAAGCTTGAACAATCGGTCATTCTAAGCTCTTCAATCCGCTTTGACCGCTCAAATGGCCGTGGTTACCACAATCTCTAATCAATTTCACTACATACCCCAGGGGATCTGCGATTCTTTCTTCGGAACCTATCCTGTCCTCCAAGACTTCAACATATTTCAACGTATATTCTTCGAGGCTTCACGTGGTTCTGCAGATGATCAACACGTCATATCCAGAAAGAATGCTTAGTTCCTGACCTACCGATCTGGCGCAGGAGAGGACCCAGGCACGCAATGGCCGCTCGCATAGCGCATCAGTCAGCAGAAAAATGGGACGCAACTTGACTGCGAATAACGGAGCAAAAGAACGTTCAACAAGAAACATAGCCAGTGACAACTTGCCATTCAATGGATTGGCGGCAGTGTTTCAGGACGTGGTGGGTTTTCGCCTGGCAAGCGTTCTCCCTATAAAAAGCCACAAATGTCCGTTTAACAACACTGCAACGTGGCAAATGTGACTCGCCACCGAATAAAGTCACAGCCCATAACTTCACACTGGCAGCTCAATTAGAATCATCATACTGGATAGATTGCTCTTCAATTATCTTTCAATGGATCACTCAGGATTCTTTATCTATTATTACGCGAGGTATGACTGCGATATATGGCAGAGCGATTATGTCCAAACAAATCGTTCTTTCGCATGTTCACCATCGCACAGTTCCAAGCATGGACATATGAACAATTTTCCACTGTCACTACAGTTCCCATAAAATGTCTGTACAGCTGTACATACCTGATCATGCCTCAACTGGCGTGCCTCGCATAGTCGAGAATAAATATTTATTTATTTATTTATTTAGAAAATTGCACAAGCACGATAACAAAACTTTAGCTACGGCTTTTGGACAGCGGGTGAAAAGCGTCAGAAGTTGTCATCGCATGCAAAGCAGACGGTCGTATGTGCCGGGGCTACTCCAAAAACCAAATCCTGTCATGCTGGAGTAAAGGTCGTGGAGGCGGACATGGACCTTGAGCCACGGGCCGTTTTGCCAGCTGGTCAAAGAAAAGGGAATAGAAATGCCAGGAAGATAAAGGGCAGTTTAGAAACTACAAGAAGGATGAACTAAGGAAGTCAGAGCACAAGTCGTACGCGGTAGTTACTCCAGGGTCATCTGATAAAGTGCACCTAGTCTCACTGCCTGCGGTCTAGTGGTGAATTTACATACACGTGGGGTAGAAACCCTTCGACGAGGTGGTTCTTGCATTTAAAGTGGTGTGATTTTCCTTAACGCGGTTAAAGCTAATATCGCTCATCCCACATTGTGCACGTTGGAAGACAGTAGGGGTTTTAGGCGTGTCTATCGAAGCTTCTTTATAAGCTTCTGCAGCGTTACTATCAGGAAACAGAATAGGCCGGTCAGCCACCTAGTTAGCGCGCCAAACTCTCGACCAAAATTACTTCCTGTAGTCTTATCCACCCCGGAGGAACGCAAATCTCTGTTGCAGGTTGCTTCCGAATATCAGGGTGCTAGTGTTAGCTTTCAGCCATACCACAGCTAGTGGAAAGGCTGAAGCTAAAAGAGACCGTTAAGGACCTTACATGCCGAGTGAGGATACCTGAACAAGAAGTCTTCAGACCAGCACCAGTAAGCCACGAAGGAAAAGTAAAACTCAATAAGTCAAAATACTTACTCGTCTGCGAAAGCCTTCACACGACCTTCATGGACACTTCATTCCTTGAGCAGTTTCAACGCTTAATGGTGCATCAGGACTAGGCAATGAGAATAACCCGTGCGGAGATTTAGAGCTCACAAGCCTACAAATAGCCGAGTGTACATTCGGTCCGTAAGATACGTTACCTGTTGTACATTACCATTCAAACTGATTGACGGCAGTGTTCCAGGACGTAGTGGATTTTCGTCTGGCAGTGGTTCTAGTCATAAAAGCCAGAGACGCTGTCTTAGCACTGCGACTTGGCGGATTTGACACGCCACAGAATAAAATCACTGGCCAAAGGCTCACACTGGCAAGTTAACCAGAGCGACCTTTCACTTCTTTCGTTTATATTTTGGATCGTACACTAAAAAGACACTTATCAGTTTCTACTATTCGGCTTTACTTTCTAAGTTATGCTTGTACACCTACTTGAACACAGACTGTTGCACTTTATAAAAGATTCCATTCCCGACCTGTACATCCGCTATTTCAGTATGTTCGGTATATTGTGCGAACAGCGCATTTCATGCAAAGCAACGTGCCAGTCGCGGAAGCATCCCTTGTAAATCCTTGGTCATGCCAGATGTACTGCAACGAAGTACTTGAGAATAAATTGTTCATTTATACATTCATTTGTTAACGGTTTCGGGTTGGTGGGTTATAGGTGGGCAGCCTGCTGTTTTTTGCCCTTTAGTGCTCGTTTTAGTTACGCACGATGAACATAGCTCTCGGCAGTGTGCGCGGTTCAAATAATAAGGTATACCAGACTGACCTGCTTGTAGATGGGTCTGATCTAGCTACGCTGGTATTCACTGAAACGTGGCTGTCTTGTGAGGTCACATACAATGAATTGCGTCTGTCTGGCTACGATCTACGTATAACTGACTGGTTCGTTAGCGCACAAGGCGGGTGCGTCGCACTTTCGGTTAACTGTGCACTTGACCCATATGGGCCTGCAAGTTTCAGAGAGTAGACAAAGCCATCGAATCTCTGTCGATGATAAGTAGCCTTTCCTTGGCTAAACTTTCAGCTGAAATTGTGTACAGAAGCTTTAGAAATGGATCCAAAGTGTTATTGAAATTTATTCGCTGTCAGTCCGCCAGAGGGTGTTTGCTGATGCTTGACTTCGGTCTACCGGAAGTTTGCTTTGCATATCTTTCTTGCCACTAGGCGCCAGGTACCTTCGGTGTACACCTTCTTAAGCTTACGCTACCAATACAGTGGCATGAGTTTTTGGATCACCCCACTGGGAAATCGGACACCCGTGTATTGTCTATTTTGGACCTATCTCTTGCCAAGCTACTAGGCTTTGCAGGTGACATCGCTTAAGGCTATCGCTTAATTGCCGGTGATAATATCTGTTTACCATTCAGCTGCGCTGTGTCCAGCCCTCCCCAAAGCGCCGTTGAATTATATTCAAATATATAATGGGCGTAATAGCAACCGACGTCTCAGTGGCTGATAGGATCCAGGCAGCCTTGTATAAACTTAAGTCTTATCACAGCAATATGCGTTCCGTATATCACACTTGCGAGGAGAAACGAGACAGGAGCACTGCCATCCTGACACCATCGGCAATAGTTGCTTCAGATGCTTTCTAGGTGCTAGCGGATTTACCCAGCCGCTGCATCAAAGAGCACCAAGGATAGGCACCACGAGGAGAGAAGTGGTTGCAACCTATTATC